TGTAATATTCTAATTTTCTGAGATTGTGGATTTGGGGTTTTCATGAGCTGTAAGCCATAATCATCACAGTTATGACACATCACGGCTTGAACTATCTTGCTTTGCATGTAATGAGTCTATCTCATATATTAGGTTCACCTTTTAAGTTGCATTACTGAAATAAATGAACTTTTGCACGATATTCTAATTTTTCAAGTTTTACCTGTAGTTCCCTTGCTCTGGAGTTTAAAAATTTGAATGACTTTCATGGCATTTTCCTCTCAAAAATAAAGTTTATGTCCATAATATTCCAGAAGCAGATGGCCTAACCTGAATAAGTTTTGTTGCATTTGGCACCAATTATATGTGAATAAAAGCAAGAGAGCCCAAATGCCTCATGTTTACCCTGCACACTCAGCTGTTTCTCCTTCTACTATCCCACTAAATTAAGAGGAAAAAACACACCTTAGTAGATGGAGTAGTAATAGTAATAGATTACTAATAGTGTTCTTTTATATTCTGGATTGATTTGTGATGCAGTTGCCAAAACAGTTGGCCATTGTTGATGTAAGTACAGCTACACTATAATTTGCCCAATTTTTCATGCAGAGTTAAAACCATAAGGCCTGCCTTGCCAATAAGGAATATAAGAAAGATAACTGCTTCAGTTGGCTGGTTTTTATCTTCATGAAACATTGTTTATTATATTTTTATTCTGCCTTGTAAAACTGATACAGGTAGTCCTCAACTTACAACAGTTGACATAGTGACTGTTCCAAGTTACAACAACACTGAAAAAAGTGACCTATGACCATTTTTCATACTTGTAACTGTTGCAGCATCACCTTGGTTTCATAATCAAAATTCGGATGCTTGGCAACTGGTTCATATTTATGATAGCTTCAGTGTCCAGGGATCATGTGATTACCTTTTGTGATCTTCTGATAAGCAAAGTCAACAGGGAAGCCAGATTCATTTAACAACGTTACTAACTTAACAACTACAGCAATTCACTTAACAACTGTGGCAAGACAGGTTGTAAAATGGGGCAAAACTCACTTATCAAATCTAGCAACATAAATTTTGGGTTCTGTTGTGGTCATAAGTCGAGGACTGCCTGTATTTGTGTATATCCACCATTCTTTAATATATTTAATTTAAATGCTGGGGGGGGTTCCCCTTAAAAATGATTTTTTACATTTTTCTGAAAGACAATAGACATTCTTGGTCACCCTCATATCTGAGGCTTCCAGATTTAGGAAACCTCAGATCCATGGCACATGCCTCTCCTTCACAAGATAGCTTCAATAGGCAACCCCACTCACCATTGTAGTTTCAGCTATTGAACCAAAGCTGTTGATAAATATGTTGCAGGTAACATTTACAGGAAGACCTGCAAGTTGAATAATAAATAGAAAAAAATGACAGTTTGTGTATATGACATATATTAAGGATAGTTGTTTCAGTGCCAGTGGCATTGCCACACTTACCATTGTGATTTCTGTGACTGATCCAAAACTGTTGATAAAAATATTGCAAGTAACGTTTACTGGAGAACCTGTGAAATGCAATAAAAATGTTGCAATATATATCATAGAAAACTTCTTCTCCATCAGCATCTATGCAATCTGAAGCAGTAGCTGCTAAAATTAAGCAAAATGTGAGACAAAACAACAAATGATATTAACCCTGATACATTTTTATAGTCTCCCTCTCCCCATTGCAGTGAACTTTATTAATTCAATTTATGGTTTAATGACAAATGCAGCAAAAGTGAACTTGAAGCACAGTCACTGTAATCTTAGACAACCGTAGGATTCTCTGCAGAGAAAGTACTGTCATCTGGAATTCTCATTTCTGATAAATTGTATTAAAACCTAGACTAGATTATTTGAAAATATTGTTTTCCTACACATTTCCCTTTGTCAGTCTTAAATGAAGGTAGAAGGAGGAGAAATGGATTCTTAGAAGAAAGCCACATAACAAAAGTGAGCTAAACTTGCTTCTGATATTTTTCTTGGGTAAATGTAGGGATTTAATCATCAGTTTTCATAGAATAATGATTTATGGCATTCCATTGTGTTAAAAAAACAACCTTAAAATAAGACTGTCTTCTATAACAAGCAAAGTGCAAAACTGGAGACAGTGTATTTTAGGGGAAAAAATCCCCTGTTGGAATAGTTGTTTCGTTCTTGTCCTTTTTAAAGACAGCAACGATATAAAAGAGATAGAAAGGTAGTAGTGGTCTAGCTGTAGCCAAAAACTTGACAGCAACTAAGCAGTTATTGTCACATGCTTTTTCATATTAAGGTATTGTCATAATTGGTATGTATCATATATATTTTGTGCAAATATGCAATGCATTATACTGACAGTACTACAGACAAATAATCCTAAAAGTCATAGAAAAAGATAAATTAGTATTATCTTTCTACTAAATAAATGCACAAGGAAAAAACAGATGAAACCAAGTGGCAAAAATTAAGTAGTAAGGGTAATTAATATATCCAAAACAGAAATGACATTAGAATGAAAGTTCCTGATTCGCAATGAAATTTTAACTATAATATTACAACAGCAGTACACATAATAATCAACAATAATCAAATTAGCAGATGATCACTAAGATGGAAGAATACTAGTTTATGTCACCCTCCCAATTGGGAGGGAAGAAGCAATGGGCATTCGGGAGGGGAAGTGTGCAGGTGGTGTGAGAGTGTAGTTGCTGAAAACCGATGGGGAGGCTTGGACTCAGAGAGGCCAGCTTGGGTTGTTTAACATCTTCAACGCCAACCATTCTGGGAATGGTATGCATGAGGGCAGCATGGAGCACTTGGACCAGAAACGTTCCCAAAACATCATCCTGGCTGATGATTGGACCCTGTCTGCCTGACTGCTGGGGGTGGGCTCTTGGGTAATTTTCAATTTGCCTTTTTCACGCATGTTTGCTTCAGACCTTGCCTGACTTTTGCTGCATTCAGTTCATTAGTAAAAGTACATTTTCTTTGAATATATGGAGTCAAGGATTTTCTTTTGTAGGAATTGATCAGAGGCAGTCCTGACATTAGGCAAGGTCTACTTTAATGGTCAACCCAGAGACTGCAGTCTACCATGGGGACCGAGTATCTAAATGTCCAACCATGAAAATGAATTGGAGGAGACTGGGGCTTTGGGCGTGTCCCCTTCTAGGCCATCCTGTGCTAGAGACAAAAGGAATGGCTGGAGGAGCTGGACATCAATCAGGAACCTGTCAAGCCCAGATGGTCATTGGGCATGGGGTGAAAAGAAGAACCAGAAGACCAACCCTCAGGGGTGACATTTACTCAAGGAAGCAGAGGTTCCCACAGATGGGAGTGGCATGAGGGGGACAGAGATGTCAGACCTTTAAACTATCCATTCACTCCATTTTCTTTTTTGGGTACTGCCATTCTGTTGGGAGGGGGGAGATTTCGCTCTTTGGGGAGGGGGGACGCTCTGTGGGCTTTTGGATATATTTCCTTTACTTTGTTCTTTTCACCCTTGATGCATCCGTCTGGGTGTGAAAGGAAGGAGGAATGTGCCTAGGTCCCTCTGTCTTATCTCTGCTCTGCCAGGAAGAGATAAGGAGGAACACAACATGCCTGAGATCTGAGTTTTATCATTCTGGTTCCCATAACAACTTCATACCTGTGGATTGGCCAAAATAATACTGAACCATTGGGCACTGGGGAGGGTTTGAAAGGGGAGTTTTAATGAAACATTTTGCATGGAATTATTCAGATCTTGCCTTGCTATTCTGCTATCACTATCTCTCAATAAAAGTTCCTTTTGAAACTATGCCATTTTCAGTAGTTCTGCTTTCTTGGGAATGCTAGCTGAGGCAGGACCTTACAGTCAGACCTAGAGGACACATGCTAAGCCATGCCTTGTACTTATCAAGAAGTGATTGAGAATCAGAGAGCCCAGGAAACTCTTGCCCAGATGACCACTCAGGCTCCTCGGACCACCCCAAGCCAAGCTTTGGATGGAGCTGCCATCTTCTCTGTCTGGACCAGCACCAGTGGTGCCACCACCAACAGCTACTGCTATGCAGGCCCCTCCATCTGCAGGAGATGCCTCTCAGAGATGCCGGACCCCGAAGGTCCCAGCATTGTGAGTGAAGTATGAAGGATACCCCAAGCAACTAGGGTTTTTCCTGGCACAAGTCTGGAACTACATGCAGGAGTATGGGGCTGAATTGGATGAGTAAGAGTAAGATACATGACCATGGCTCTTGAGGGTGCAGCAGCCGAGTGGATGGTCTCCCTCCATAATGATGATGCCCCCAGCTGCGGAACTATGACCACTTCATGACAGCTCTTCACCAATGGTTTGATGACCCACTGGCAGAGAGCAAGGCTTGGATGAAGACCATCACCCAAGGTCGGTAGTCAGTTGCCATGTATGCCCAAGAGTTCCAAGGGTTGGTGTGTCGGCTAGCCACATGGCCTGAAGACATCCTGATCAAATGCTTCAAAGACGGCCTCAACGATGATGTTTACCACATCTACATTTGGCAGAGGGCCCCATGCATCCTACAACACTGGTATGTGCAGGCAATGAAATGAGCTTGTTTAGAAAAAAGGACTATTACAGTCCATATTACTGTATTTCCCCTACTTTTCGGTAATTCTACAATAAAGTCCATGGCTATCTCTTCCCAGGGCTGTGAAGGGTCTGTGACTTGCTGTAATAATCCAGGGGGATTTCCTGGACATTTTTTCATGGTTGCACAAGTCGCGCAGCTTTTTAATTAATTTTCAATGTCCTTCTTCAGTCCAGGCCACCAAAACTGCCGCTGAATCAAATGTAAAGTTTTTAGATAGCCAAAGTGACCCGCTTGTTTGCTATCGTGGCTGTGTTGGAGAGCCTGAACTCTGAGACTCTCTGGTAGATACAGTTTTGATCCCTTCCAAACTAACCCGTCCCGACAAGTCAGTATAGTATTATTTGCTAAGAATCAGGGATTGGTCTTTAACTCCTCCTTCAGTCTCTTAGTGATTGGGTTGTCAGGTTCAGTTGATTTCAGCTGCGATGGGGCCCCTGTTTTTACCTGAGAAACCAACTCTAATTGTGGAATAACAGAGTTCACAATCTCTTCTTGATGGCTTTTGTATTGGGGCAGTCTGGATAGGGCATCAGCTAAGACATTTTTTCCTCCCAAGGTGTATTTTAATGTAAAGTTGAAATGGTTAAAGTACTGCACCCATCTGACTTGCTTAGGGGATAATTTGCGAGGGGGTTTTAGTGTCTCTAGATTTTTGTGATCAGTCCATACTTCGAAAGGCAAATCGCTCCCTTCAAGAAAATGACGCCAAGTAAGTAGAGCCCACCTCACAGCGAAAGCCTCCTTTTCCCAAACTGCCCACCTTCATTCAGCGTCCGTTAACTTTTTGGAGGTGTAAGCGCAGAGCTGTAAAACTTTGCTGTCATTCTTTTGCAAAAGAACAGCCCCCACAGCTACATCGCTGGCGTCGGCTTGAATGGTAAATTGTTTTTCAGGATCGGGGTTTTGAGAATGGGTTCGGCTGCAAACAGTCTTTTTAAATTCTCAAAAGCACTTTGACATTCTATGGACCATGGGAGTGGTTGGCAGGGTCGCAGCTTCCCACCATTTTCCCTGTTTTTAACAGCTCGGTCAGTGGCAAGGCAATTTCTGCAAAAGAGGGGATGAATTACCAGTAGAAATTAGCAAATCCCAAGAAGCTCTGGAATTGCTTCTGGGTTCGTGGGGGCTGCCACTCTAGTACTGCTTTCACTTTAGCTGGGTCCATTTCAATGCCTTCACTGGAGATCCTGTATCCTAAGTCATACAAGCGTGTTTGATGGAATTCGCATTTTGAGAGTTTTGTGTAAAGCTTGGCATTTAGCAACTTTTTTAGCACTTCATGCACTAATTTAACATGCTCATCCATGGTCTCAGTGTAGATGAGGATGTTGTCAAAGTAAACTAAAACCCCCTTATATAGGTGATTATGCAGTACTTGATTTATCAATTGCATGAATATGGCAGGAGCCCCCTGCAGGCCGAAAGGCATGACATTGAATTGGAAACTTCCTAAGGGGCTGTTAAAAGCAGTTTTCCATTCACCACCTTTCTTGATACTTACTTTATAGTATGCTTCTCTTAGTTCTAATTTGGTAAAAACTTTTCCTTTTGCCAAATGGGCTAACATGTCCTTCATCAAGGGGAGGGGGTACATGTTCTCCATGCTCACGCAATTTAACCCTTTATAATCAGCACACAGCCTCTTTGATTCATCTTTCTTTTCCTTAAACAGCATTGGGGCGGCCATCCGGGATTTTGCTGGTTGGATAAATCCCCTTTCTAAGTTCTTATCAATATATGCTCTCAGCTCTTTCAGTTCACGAGGGGTCATAAAATATATTTTCGGTTTGGGTAATTTTGCCCCCGGTAAAATCTCAATAGCACAGTCCATAGTTTGGTGGGGTGGCAGGATGTCACATTCCACCTCGCGGAACGCTTTTGCTAAGTCTCTATATTCACTTGGGATGATAGGTTCTCCTGGTGGGGAACTAACAGCAGATTTCAAGGTTTCCAGGTGCTGTACCTGGCTTTCAACTGGGCTGCTGATTGTGGTAGGAGGTGACGGTCTGGTTGTTAGTCTTAAGGTCCTGACTCCATTTTCCCACCAAATCATAGGGCATCATTTATCAAGCCAGGCCAACCCCAAAATGTTCCCCTATTTCTAGATGCACTAACTCAGTCAGGTGGGTACTGGGGCTCCACCTATGAGAGATTCATCGGCCTGCTCAAACCTCATGGCCAGGGGTAGCAATTTTGCTCTAATGTGCAATTTTAGTATGGTAGGGAGGTTGATTAAGCATCGGGTGCATCCCAAATCTACTAAAATGTTCAAGTCCACCTGAGTCCCTGATGTAGGCACCATTAGTCTGGCAGTAAAGGCAAAAGGTGGGACTGGCTGACTCACCATCAGGTCATCTCCCCCCCCATCATCACTGTCACAAGGATCTGGTGCAGGCAGATTTTCAGCTGGTTCCTTTTGCTTCTCCTGGGGAGGAGAGGTGACTTGTACAACTTGCCCCTGGTTGGCCCAATTCGACTTCTCACGCATTGGCTGAGGCTATCTCTTTGGCTTCACCGGAGCTGCAGTTGTACTTTTTGGTGGAGGGAACGGGAATGGGCACTCTGCAGCTCAATGTCCAGGTTTTCCACACCTGAAGCACTTGATCTGGGATCCAGCGGATGCTCGAATGGATCCATGCGTCATGGCAGGTGGAGGCCGTTGCGATGGCTGATGCCTCACAGGGTCTCACTTTGGTTGAGACCCTGAAGCAGCAGGCTTGTGGTACCATGTCAGCTTGATATCCATGTCTGTAACTAAGCGGTACCAATCATAGAGTTGATCAGGATTGCCACTGCAGATGCATGTCTGGAATAGGTTGCGATCCAACCCCGCTTTGAAATAGTGGATCAACGATTGCTTGGGCCATTGCCTGATCTTCTCTGCCAGCCTGCAAAATTCTATCATGTATTCTCTTGCTGGCCAGCCCCTCTGCTTAACATCATGTAGGTCTTTTTCCACCTGTACCACTTGGGATTCATCCTCGAATCTGGCCCTCAGCCCATGTGTGAACAGGTCGAAGTTCCATAGTTTGCTCCTCCCGAAGGCCAGCTACCCACTCCACAGCCTCCTTCTCTAAGTTGGCAGCCACTGCATCAATCATCTCTGCTTCATCCAAATAAGCCCTTTCAAAATGATTAACATAAAAATGTTAAAAATGTTTTAAAGGTTTTTTTCTGATTTAATAACGAAGGAAGACTATTATAAATATGATAATGTTGTAATAATTGAATTTGTTTGACTTAATTATGAATGGATGGGAATTAAGGTCCTAAAGGTTCCTTTTTTTTTGATTCAATAATGGTCGAAGGAGGTGGACTTATTGTTAATGTTACATTTGACAAACAAT